GGCTGGCAAAGGTTGATTCCAAGCATTCCCAGATCTCTCTTGATGTTGTGAGGCCTACTGTGGTAACAAGTACACTTTCAGTGACCGAGGATAACAACCAAGATGCCAGGAGCTGGTCTTGCCTTATCCATAGCAAGAATGAGGGATTGATAGATCTGTCTTGTGTTGTTGGATCTGTGATGAACTCCTCTGGTGCTCTTTGAGTTCCATTGATGAAATGCTCCAAACCATAGCCTCTAATGGCTGCTAGAACCTGTTGTTTCCACAGGAGATGGTTTGATTCAGATAGCTTAACACTGATAAGCTGAGATTGGAGAAACAAAGGCTGCTCACTAGTAGTTTGGGGAGATGTGTTTTGTGTTGCCATGGTTTAAAATAAAAAGTAAAAGGAACGATTCAGATGCAGGCTTTTCAACCTGCTCTGATACCATATTGAGCAATCTCAACAGCCATTAATGAAAAATCAAATCAAAGCTATAAGAAGAAAACTGGGAAATGAACTTTCTGTTGCTTCATTAATGGATATGCTGAAAACAATGAATAATAAAGCTGCTGTAACATCAGAATATATATGCTACCTAAACCCTAACAGCTAGCTCTCATCTACAAGGAAAAATGATCAACGGTTGAGATGAAAGAAAAAGGATCTCATGCAGTACAAGGGACAGCTCATGCATGGGAGCATGCATATATATGAAATGACAAAAAAGACCCTTTCAGGTGCTGCTATGACTTGGCATTGTTCTTTGTCTCTTAGCCTTGTTTGAATGAATTTCTTGAACAATATTTATACTGCTTTCACAATTTTGGCACAAGAAGCTGACACCACGTGCGACCCGACGATACGTTCGATTTCCAAATGCGAGAATGTTGCGAGAGAAGTGCACATGTCCTGGCGTCCTAGAAGCGCATCTAGGTGGTACAAATGACACGCCAGGCTTGTCGGTGGTGCAGCACGGGAAGTGGTCAGGTGGCACGCATCTCAAAAATAAAATAGCCAACGACGACCAGACTTCAATAACCCTATGGCGGTTGGACACGGACTATGCGGTGACCCAATTAGACTCGACGGAGGCGACTCGATTTGGCGATGCCACGACGGCGGTGCAGTGGCGACGCACGATAGACGAGGAGCGACCAACGTTTTTCGTCAACCAGTTGACTTGGACTAGATGTCTGCTGGAAAATGAATTCTACGGTGATAAAGAATATTCAGTTCCAACATGGACTGATTTATTTCCTAATTCAACTAGAATTCTAATTAATAGCCATAATTGTGGGATTTATTTCCTTGTTTCTATTGCTGCTATTAATTGCTATTCATGATTAATTAACCATTAGCTTAACAACATGATTCAATTATAGGATTGCATATATTAAAAATCCTCAACTAAAATAACTAAGTGGGAAGAAAATTTTTAAATTAAAATAATCTAAAAATCCTACGGCCTTGATTGCTGGTTTGTTGATGATGCAATATATTTGAAGTGTGGACTCCGTCACCCAATGACACTCATGAAAAAGAAATTGCGGGATCACAAGCAAAACTTCCATTAAATGATTGCAAGAAACTGTGTTAGAGTTTGCAGACCTCGCCATAAGCGTACGTACAATCCAAAATCACCCCATATATCTATTTAAAAACCATAATAATAGCAAATATTATTATTAAAAAACAATATGAAAGAAGAAGATATAATAAAGAGATTGATAAAATCATTTTTAATTTCTCCAAATTAAAATCTTCATTAGTATATATTAATTAGGTCACAAAACTTAATTATTACCCCATATAATTTTTTTTCTTTTACATTATATTTTCATGATCACAAATTCATGAATGTCACTCATTCTATATTTAACAATTAATTAATTAAGGGAATGAATTTTATGTAATAAATACGTAAATATATTTGTTTATTCAAATATGCGTCGAACGAATAAACAGACTCTGATACAATTGTTAATGGTTTTATATAACACATATATAAATTCATATAATACTAAGCGAAAATTTTGCCCGTATCGTTTATCCGACGGCTACTAAAGTCGTCGGTATCCTCCACACTCTAAAACTCGGCCTTGTGGTGATCTCGGCCGAACAAGAGAAAAATTGCACTTAAAGATCATTGTGACGATATAAACTTAATTTTTGCTTTCGTATCACTTTTTCAAGATGCACAAAAGCACGTTAATTATAGTTGTCTTCATACAACTCTACACTATCGAAGACTTGAATCCCCACTTCGGAACTCCATACATAATGTAGGTGAGTAACAACTCCACCCCTAAGTAAATGCTAAAGTTAATAGATGCATGTAATATCAATTAAAAACAAAAACAAAAAAAAAAAAATAATAATTTGTTTTTCTTAAATTATTAAATATCCAATTTAATCTAATTATATTCCAATCCTATATTCCAAGGGGTAAGAAGGGAACGGTCTGGATCAAACATGTGGCCCTTACATTGGACAGGACAGCACCTAATTATGCTCCCTTTCCCACCAATCACACTTCGACAACAAATTTCATGAAACCACTCTTTTTCCTTAAAACCACTCATCTCCACATCTCAAAACCACTTCAAATTCCTATGCAAGGCCTGTACTATGTTGCATGTGTGATGTGTCTACATATCAAAAGACTGACTCATAAAGCAGCTGGGAAAAGTCTCGCTTGTATACAATTTAATTCACTCATTTTTATTTTAATTCAAAATTTAAAAAAATCTTACGATCTCGTTATAGAACCATTCCGTCAGGATTTGTAACCGTTATATTACCATGTTGTCGTCGGTGATAGTTGATCTAACGATTTACAAACTCAGAGGGAATAGTTCCGTAACGGGACCGTAGCATCTCCCCAAAATTTAACTCAATTTTAACACAACCCCACTATTTTTAATATTATTCATATAATTAAATAATACAAACCAATCATTCTTACACATCACATCAACTTTAATTCACTATTTATCCATTCACATAATTTTAACTACCTATAATTTCTAATCATTTATCTCTTACTTTTACATCAAATCAATTTTAATCATTTTACTTTAAATATTATTTTAATACATTCTTAAAATTCCACTACAACTAACCATACCACCTTAATTATGATTAACCAGAATAATTTAATTTGAACAAATTATTAGCCCTATGTAGTGTAAATTTTACCACATTATAGTGTGATTCTACGGTCCTATTACAGAACTATTCCGTCGAGATTTGTAACCGTTAGATCAACTATCTCCGACGGTTACACGATGATTTAACAGTTACAAATCTCGACGGAATGATTCCGTAACGGCACGGCAGCATTTCCCCTACATTATATATATAATTATATATTAGAAACTCTCCAAAATAGCATGATTATTAATAAACAAAATAGAGCCATTTAATTAAGTAATAATAATTTATGGGTCTTTATGTTTAAGGAAAAAAAAAAATGTTTACATTGAGTGGTTGGAAGAAAGACAGAGCATGTACATGGAACAGTAACAAAAAGAGAGTAAGTCATGATCATATCATAAATATATATATACACATATAAATTAAATATCTGTACTTCCCATAATATTTATTTATATATAAATTATTAAATGGGCTATATGAATTAATAATATTTGAAAGAAATAAATAATTAAAAAGAAGAAAGAAGAAGAAGAAGAAGGAAATGGGGAGGGGAAGGGTTGAGCTGAAGAGAATAGAGAACAAAATAAATCGACAAGTGACTTTCTCGAAGAGGCGCTGTGGTCTTCTGAAAAAAGCTCATGAGATCTCTGTCCTTTGCGATGCCGATGTGGGATTGATTTTCTTCTCCACCAAAGGAAAGCTCTTTCAATACCCTACTCATTCTTGGTAATTATTAACTATTATTTATTTATTTTATTTTTATTATTATTTATTTATTTATTATTTTTAGAAATCCTCGTTTTTAATTTGTTGGGGTTTTTTGCTATGTTATTATTCCATGTATGAAAAATTAAATAATTATTCAGTTTTTATATTTTTTGTGGTTTTTAATATTTCTTTGTAATTCTTTTTCTTGTCTTTTGAGGATTAATTGTCATAGTGTAGCAGTTTCATGCAAAAGTGCCATCGATCGGTCTATCTATTTTTTTTTTTTTTTTTTTTTTTTTGTTTCTATATATATTGTATGTTCTTCTCTCCAATATTTGAAAATTATTAATATGTAGAGAGCAAATATTAATTTCCCTTAATTTGTGTCTTTAATTTAATTTGGGAGTTTAATTTGTCTTCATTTGAACTAAAAGAACCAAAATTAGTAGTGTATTTAATTAATGCATGAATAAAGAAAATTGTGCTCCATATACTGAAACCCTTGCACTAATTTTTGTCCATTAATTATACAAAATTAGAAGGTATGAATTATTTGTATAATTCATCGAAAATGTTACAGTCCTATATCGGAATCGTTCTTCTGTATAGAACTCCGATAAAATACTGACACATCACTTTTGTTGGACTAAATCTAATTAAGTTTTCATATCAAAACTAAAATTTTAATGAATTTATACTGAATTAACGACGGAACCATTCTGCTACGGGATTGTAGGTTTTCCTAATTTATTATACGGTTATAAATTACATTTGGTGGTATTATACAAAATTATTTACTCATTTAATTTCATCAAAATTAAGAAAACAAAAAATTTGATAGGTCGACTCGCCTAACCGTAACATTCCCTCACACAAGAATTCGTGTTATGCAAATTAGATTAAGCAATAGTTATAAAACGAATACTTAGCTTCAGACCTGATCAAAAACATATGCGTTGAACGAAATCTAGTGTTAGTCGTTGCGAAATCTTTAAACAAACTGCTTGAAAAATAGTAGGGTCGAGTCTTATATATGTTCGTCTAACTGTTATAGTCGGAACAATTTCGTAACCGCCGACTTGGGCTAGCCCGAAAACGTAAGGGCAAGCGCGTTTAATTAACATATCCAATGAAGTAGAATAAATTAGAGAGGCTTAATATATATGTGTAATATTATTATTATTCAGATGATAGCCTTTCTTTGATTAATGCAGCATGGAGAGGATTCTCATGCGATATGAAAGATATTCGCATGATGAAAGGCATCCGAAAGAGCCAGACCTTGAATCACCGGTATATATATGTATATTTAACTATTATTTTCAAATTAAATATAATGTACATTTGCATGTATATATATATATTTAACTATATTACTTTCAAAATATTTGTTTTCGCATGAAAATATTGAAGCATAATTAATTAATTATCTATATATTATTATTAATAGTATAAACTTCAGGGAAATGCTACAGTCCTGTTACGGAACTATTCCGTCGAGATTTGTAATCATTAGATTATCATGTAATTGTCGTGGATAGTTGATCTAACGGTTACAAACTCCGACGGAATGGTTCCGTAACAGGACTGTAGAATCTTAAACTTCAATTTATGTAATTATAATTAACATTTTTATTAATGAACACAGGTTAGCTGGAGCTTAGAACATGCCAAACTTAAGGGAAGAATGGAGGTTTTGCAGAAAAACCAAAGGTACATACATAACAACGCTATTTAATTATTAATTCTAAACTAGCTTTCGATCTTGTGCACAAAGACAAAAATTTATATATTATACGTACGTGTATGATATTTAAAATTTTTAAATTAGATAAACTATGTATTAAATTTATAATAATAAGCTTTTTTTTTTATTAAATGGAGTCCTATTTTTATTAATTGTTGGCAGAATAATATTTATTGAAATTTGTCCGTAATTATATATATACAGATATTTAATTAAATTTATAATATCTGGACGGGGGTTTACTAATAATTACCGTAATTACAGGCATTATATGGGAGATGATTTGGAGAACCTGAGTTTTAAGGAGCTGCAAAACTTGGAACATCAACTTGATGCCTCCCTTAAACATGTTCGAACGCGCAAGGTAATTAATATTTTAATTCTATATTTTTTTTTATATATAAAATTATTTTTATTTGCCAATTGATAATTATCAACAAAGAATTTAGAATGAATTAGCATTTATTCAATTATGGAGATGTTTAAAAACCATTGATATTTAGTTTAGAATTTAATTATATATCTTCAGATTATCAATGACGGTAATATTTTTCAGTGAATTGATAAAACATTTAAATTATGGTGATGTTTAAAAACCATTGAAATTTAAATTAGAATTAATTATATATCTTCAGATTATCAATGACGGTAATATTTTGGTGAATTGATAAAACATTTATACAATATCTATATCTATATCTATATATCTATATAAAAAATCATCATATTTATTAAATTTAGTAACAAGAAAAGTCAAAAGATAATTAATGCATTCTATTTTTATCATTTTTTCAATTGTATTAGTATTATTTTATAGCTAAAAAATGAGTCTACATTAATTACATCCTTAATTGATGTGTTTTGCAATAAAATTGGACATATAGATTTCAAGTAAAAACATGTCTCATTTTAAATTTAAATTTAAATTTAAAATATTTTATTTATATCTGTGCAAATGCACAGAGTCAAATACTAGTTAGAATTTTGATACTTTTATGATGTTCATTTTTACTAACGGCCAAAGTTTTAAAATGTGATATTATTATTTAACTTATAGTTGTACAATTATACACATATACGTAACTTATAGTGATAATAATTTAAATTTGTGCGCATGTGCACAAGATCAAATACTAGTTATAACTGAAAATCAAGATTTAAGTAACTTTTTAGATAATATATCAAAACTATCGATAATTAATTGAATGTCATTGAAATCAAAGTTAAGGAAGGTGTATTCAATTGAGACTTTTAAAAACTTTTTAAGACTTTTTAAAGTGAGTGACTTTGATCGATTTTGTAAAATTTTAAATGACTTCGGTGGACATTCCGAGACTTCCATAGCAAAACCTCACCAATTTGATGAGATTTTTTGTCTTTGTAATTTTATTAATATTAGTTAATTATTTTTAATCATATAACCAAAAATTTATAATTTCGTGCACAATTGCTATAATAATTTTAATGTTTATTATTAACAAATATAACTAGTGCATAACTCGTGCGATGCACAAGACACATATATTAAATGCATCATTTCCATAGAGCTTATAAGTTTAGGCACAAAAACAATAAGGTTGGATCATCCATTTTCCACATCTTTTAATCGGTGATGTTTATTTTATCCAGAACGTTAAAATGTTAATTAATATATTATTCTTCTAACACGTTATACTAATATAAATTTGATTTTAGAATATATATTTATTCATTGATATAAGAAAATTAAAAAATTTACTTATTCTTGTTCACCATATAATACTTAATTATTATTTTATTATAAAATTTGATGTCATATAATGTTATTATTATTATAAAAGTTATAAAAGTAGTCTTCTTCTAATTAATTTTTGTAATGAAACTTAAAGTAAATTTTTGTGTATATATGTTTACAAACTACACACACATGTTTTTTTATAATTCAATTTTCTCATCATAATTTAAAAAAAAAAATGATTTAGCAATTGCCAAAAAATAAATTCCTTACATAATCAAGAGAGTTTTCTAATTTTCATCCTAAGGCTTTATAATTTATTTAACATACTATGCAATAGAAATATATTTTACAATAAATTCATGATAGAAACAAATCAACACAAAAAAGAAAAAAATGATAAAAAATTATCATGGTTGACAATAATATACAAATAAATCACATGTTGAAATTTTAAAGATTAGCTAATGTATTTTAATTTTATTATATAGCCATTAGTATAATTATTTAATGATGTGATAAATGGTAAATTATATTACTTTAACAAAACTTATATGTTTTTATATAATTAAATAAAGGTTCAAAAAATTGTCAGCAAATGCTAATTTATCAATTTGATTCGCTTAGTTAGTTAGGAGAAAATTACTTAACATTTTATGATTATTTATAAATATTTTAGAATGAAAGTCAATATTTGTGAAAATAATAATAATAATAATAATAATAATAATAATAATAATAATAATATGGTTAAGATTTAAAATTTGTTTTATGTTGACTAAAATATTATCAAAATTAATCTCGAAAAATCAAATTATTGTTTATTATAATAGATATCAATAAAAATATTGCAAAAGTTAATATAATTATTCAAGGAAAGAATTTTTTTTATCATATGTGTATATGCAAGCAAGTAATGCATATAGTTAAAAAAAAAATTCTAGATAAGGTATGCATTAAATATTCACAAAATTCTTTTGCTACTATTTTTAGTAAATAGTTATTCTCTTTATAAATATATTGATGTAGGTTTCACCATAATTGATAGACAAAAGGGGTGGAAAAATTTATTATTTGCATTAATTTAATAACCCTAAACATTTGGCTATATTTTTAATTTTATTAAATTATCAACATTTTTGTATAGATATAGATATTGTGATGTGTTTTAAAGGTACTATAATTTATATTAGTTTCAAAATTTTTATATTTAGTAAAAATAAAAATTTTCAGACAGAAATTCTATTACTATTTTAAATAAATGTTTAACCTTTATATATATTATAGAATATATAGATTTGTATCCATTTCTCTTATTATTTCTTTCATGTATTAATTATCATTAATGTATACTCTGTTGTTTTTTAATGTTAATCAATATTTTATTTATATTCTATTTTCAGCTATAATACATCAAATTAAAATGTTATGATTTAACATATGTGTTGTACATATAAAAAAAAAAAAAA